AGTTAAAAATTTTTAACATTTTCTAATGGTGGTGTGCCTCGTGATTTTTTTCATGAAAAAAGTGTGCCTTTGCACAAAAAAGGTTGAAAAACACTGTCCTATCCTATCCTATCCTATCCTATCCTATACTATCCTATACTATACTATACTATCCTTTTCCATTTTTAAATATATTTTAACAAATGTGAGGAGTGAGCAATGGAGCCAAAGTCATCCTGTTGGCTGAGGGTGGACTGGGTCCTCGATCCCCCTCGGACTTAGTCCAACAGTCTAAGGACAACGCTACGATTTCAAAAATCCAGAGGTATTTTTGAAAGCAGCTTCCGTTCCACATGATTATTTTCAGCGATGCCCGGAGAGCTTCGCACGAGTTTCCCAAACCCACGTAGCTTTATTAGCCACAGTAGACCAACTCCTGGTGGCCTGTCGCCCCGCAGCTTTTTTGTAATTTGGCCCCCCACCCGGGCCAGACATCCCCGCTTCCCTCCGTCCCCTTCTCCCTCCTTCTGCTTGCCACGCCTCGGATCCGGTGAGTCACGCCCGTGTCAATCCGTGTGAGAGAAAAGTAGGGATAGCCTCCCACGTGCTGTCGCTCCTCCGGGGGGAGCTCAACAACTCCCGGGTGGTGGAGGGGCATTTAGAATAGAAGAGGATAACAGTTGGAAGGGACCTTGGAGGTCTTCTAGTCCAACCCCGTTTAGGCAGGAAACTCTTACACCATTTCAGACCAATAGTTATCCAACATCTTAAAAACTTCCAGTGTTGGAGCATTCACAAGTTCTGGAGGAAGTTGTTCCACTGATTAATTGTTCTAATCAACAGGAAATTTCTCCTTAGTTCTTAATTGCTTCTCTCCTTGATTAGTTTCCACCCATTGCTTCTTGTCCTGCCCTCAGGTGCTTTGAAGAATAGCTTGACTCCTTGTCCTTTGTGGCAGCCCCTGAGATATTGGAACACTGCTATCATGTCTCCCCTAGTCCTTTTCATTAAACTAGACTGCAATTCCTTTAAAAAAACGCGGGAGGAGATGACGAGAAGTACAAGATCGGTTTATATTAATCAATATATTAATATATACCAATTAAGGTTTCTACTAATTAATATATCAATACTTACTCAAGGTTTATATTAATGCATTCTTAACATTGGAATAATATCCAACTAACATTGGACTACCATTTGTCAGAAATGGTGTAGGGTCTCCTGCTTGGGCGGCGGGTTGGACTAGATGACCTACAAGATCCCTTCCAACTCTGTTAATCTGTAATATAGATAAGATTTTTACAACGTGCGTTTCGGGGTAAATGATGGACGGGAGTTCCTTTGGGACCCCTTTACAGTCACACACACCCCGTCCCGCCCCTGCTTCCTTCCCCAAAGCCTCCCGAGCAATGAACGAATGAAAGAACCCGCGCGCAAAAATTGTACTTCGGGATCCCAGAAACCCCGCCCACCGGGAAGGAGGAGGCGGGGCTGGAGAGTCCTTTCCCTCTTCTTTCCCCTTCAGGGTGAAGGAGGGGGGAGCGTGGCGTAGCCCCAGGGGGCGGGGCTGAAGACCCCTTTCCCTTTTCTTTTCCCTTCTAAAGGAGCAATAAGAAGAGAGAGGTGGTGGAGGAGGCGGAGGAGGAGGTGTGGCGTAGCCCCCAAGGGGTGGAGCTGGAAAATCCTTTCCTTCTTTTTTCCCCTTCTAAAGGAGCAATAAGAAGAGGGGGAAAGAGGCGTGGCGTATCCCCCGAAGGGGCGGGGCTACAGACCCCTTTTCCTCTTCTTTCCCCTTCTAAAGGAGCAATTAGAAGAGAGAGGTGGTGGTGGTGGTGGTGGTGATGGTGGAGGTGGTTGTGATGCTGGTGGTGAAGTGGTAGTGGAGGTGGTGGTAGTGGTGGTGGTGGAGGAGGAGGAGGAGGAGGAGGAGGAGGAGGCGTGGCGTAGCCCCCAAGGGGTGGAGCTGGAAAATCCTTTCCTTCTTTTTCCCCCTTCTAAAGGAGCAATAAGAAGAGGGGGGGAAGAGGCGTGGCGTATCCCCTGAAGGGGCGGGGCTACAGACCCCCTTTCCTTTTCTTTCCCCTTCTAAAGGAGCAATAAGAAGAGAGAGGTGGTGGTGGTGGTAGTGGTGGAGGAGGAGGAGGAAGAGGAGGAGGAGGAGGCGTGGCTTAGCCCCCAAGGAGCGGAGCTGGAAAATCCTTTCTTTCTTCGTTCCCTTATTAAAGGAGCAATAAGAGGGGGGGAGGCGTGGCGTAGACCCCCCAAGGGGCGGGGCCCGAGACTCCCTTCTCTTCTTTCCCTTTCTAAAGGAGCAATAAGAAGAGGGAGGAGGAGGAGGCGTGGCTTAGCCCCCGAAGGGGCGGGGCTACAGACCCCTTTCCCTCTTCTTTTCCCTTCTAAAGGAGCAATAAGAAGGGTGGGATTGGGGGGCGGGGCGTTCCACCTCCTCCCAGGGGCCGAAGCTCCGCCTTCTTCTCCCCCCCTCTCCTCCTCCTCCTTTTGCGCCTCTGGTTTGGAGGGAAAAAAGGGAGGCGTGACTACCCGGCTTGGGTAGGGGGAGAGAAGCAACCGCCTCTTAAAACCCCTGGCTCCGAGAGGAGAGCGGCGGAGTAGCGCTTTCCGAGGGGGGAGAGAGCGGGGAGAGCCGGCCGCTCCTTCCTTCCAATGCGAAGAGGAGAAGGCGGCGGGCGCCGGACGGCAGTGCGGCTCGGGCTGCTCCGCAATGCTGGAGAATGGCTCTCTGAAGAACTGCAGCGGGCTGACGGGGCGAGGACCCTTCGCCTTCCCTTGGCCCCAGAGCGGCCAGGAAGACGCTTCGGCCGCGGAGGCAGCGGCGGACCCGAGACCGCGCTGGGTGGTGACGGTGCTGTCCAGCGTGCTGATCTTCACCACCGTCGTCGACGTGGTGGGGAGCCTGCTGGTCGTCGCCTCGGTTTTCAAGAACCGCAAGCTCAGGAACGCAGGTAAAGGGGAGAGGCAGCCCGGCAGGCTTTCGCATCCCGCGTCCCCCACGAAGACGAATCATGTGTCAGGGAGTTCCACCGGCCCAAGAACTGTGGGGAGGAGGGAGTGAAGCGCAGGGCCGCCCAAGAAGATTATGAAGTGCCGGAACAAGACTAGTAGCCCCTCCCCCTCCCCTACACATGGACCCATAGTCCAGTCTTTATTGTCATTGTACAAAATAAATACAACGAAATTGGTTTTAGCCTCGCTGGTGCAAAATTATAGCGGAAACGAAAAAAGAAAGAAAAAGGGAAAAAAACTAGTCATGCATGGAGTGATTGTGGTTGAATTTAAAAGTCTTACAGCCCAAGGATAGAAACTATTTTTAAAGCTATTTGTTCGGCTGGCTATACTTTGATGTCTTCTGCCCAATGGTAGAAGTGCGAAGAGACACTGACCAGGGTGTGAATCGTCCCTAAGTATCTCCCTTACTCTGCTAAAGCAGCGAGACCTGGCGATGTTATCCAGTGGTGTCAGAGGGCAACCAATGGTTTCTTGTGCCAAGTTGATCCCTCTCTGTCATGCCTTCCTGTCCGCAACAGTTAAACCAGCTTACCGTACTATAATGTGAATACAAACGTCAATAATTGTACATTTATAATGCACGGCGGTTTTTCAGCTCCAGATTTTTGAGAGGGCATTTCATCGCCGTTCTCATAAACCGAAATGAAATAGAAAATATATTCGTCAAACGAAATGAAACTAAACTCAAATAAAGGAGTAATGAAATTAAAATGCAGTAAGTGGCATAAGAAACTCTTCACCAAGTGTTGGGTCAAACAAGGCTGCAAGGCAGTTTTGCTGGTCACACAAAGTATAGAGGGTGAAGTGTTTAGCCAATATTGTTTTTCTTTTTAAAAATTCGGTTT